GCCCTCAATCCCACAATGTGCTTTTACCCATTTTAGAGTCACTACTTTCCCTACAGTTCTCATCATTAACAATTTGTTTCTAATTTGGTCAGTCAAATAATCATGAATGTCCCAATTATTAACAGAGTCTAGCAGAACTTTGTTGTTTGTATTTATAGTAACGTGAGTGTTCGTTTGTAGAGGGTAGTCATATATGTATTCAGTCACCTTTAAAACAGCGAATTTTCCTGCCTGATTATTTGAGCAATATGATTCTAATTTATATTGATGTTCTATATTCCTGCCATCTTGAGCCCTGAACAACCATGCACATCCAACATTCTTGCTGTCCTTACTACCATCAGTGAAAACATCAGTATTTTCAGAAGTAATTTTTGGTCCAGTCCATAAACTTGTTGCAGGGTGTAACCAAGATTTGCAGTCAGTGATTCTTTCTATTTTGTCCAGGGTCAGGTCTTTGTATCCTCTCTTTCCTTTGCTAATATTATATAAGGTCGTTCGTTCTTCAATCTTCATTTGGATTGGCAACAGCCCTGCCAATAATATTGTGGCCTCGAATGATAGTGTACGATAGCCCTTAACCTTTTATTAACCTCTGAAGCCTTTCCAACTTCACCAAATTTTTCTTACGTTCAACGGCCGGATGCCAGACATGCACAGCGTAGAGCATCTTAGGATGTACAGCAGCTTCATAAATTTCCTTTAACACTTCCGATCTGAGTCCCCATGTCACTCTTGCAGCCACTGACAGTCCATTTATAATCCTTAAAGTGTTGTCATATAGATTATCTATATGTCTGTTCCAATTCAGTTTTCTGTCAAAGAGAAGCCCCAAATATGATAATGTGTCACATTGCGTTATTCTTACTGTATTGAGTCGAATATCCAATTCTGGTACAATTCTCTTTTTTGTGAAGATTATATATTTTGTCTTGTCTAGATTAAATTTAAGTTTGTTGCGTCTAGTCCATTGTCTCAGCCTTGATAATGTTATGTTTGCTATTGTCTGTAATTCATCGAAATCTCTTCGCTTTATAAGTAATAATAAATCGTCTGTGTGTGCTAATAATGTTGAATTTTCCTGTTGGTCTATTTCGAAAACAGTATTTATTAAGATGTTCCATAGTATAGGTGATAGTGCTGATCCTTGAGGAGTTCCTAGCGTCAATTTCTTGTCAATATAATGAAAGTTTGTTTGGATTGCAAGTTTTTTGTCAGAAAAATAATTTTGAATGATTTTGTATATGTTTTTTGGACATTTATATTTCTTTAGATTATTTAAGATCGCAGGCCACCAGGCGTTGTCAAAGGCACCTGCGATATCCAAAGAAACAACCAGTAAATTACTATTTTGCCGGAGTGTACTGGTGATATGGTCGTTCAATTCACTGAGAGCATCGTCAGTTCCTGTTTGGGGTCTGAATCCAAAATGGTGTCGGTGGAGTATATTGTTACTAAGTAGATGATGCATTAATTTATTTTTTATTATTTTTTCAAAAATTCTGCTCATTACAGGAAGTATACTAGTGGTCTCTGTGAAAATGAATTAGCCTTAGGAATCAATGTTAATTTACCCACCTTCCAGCTTTTAGGAAATTCATTTCTTTTGAATAAGGTTTTATAAAGTCCAGTTATCAATTTTGGAAAGGAGTCAGCTATCTTTTTTATCATTCTTGGGTCAATTCTGTCTATTCCTGGTGCTTTCTTGTCATCCAATTTATTAATAACTTGTAATATTTCAAAATCCCGGATATTAGTGTCATCGTCATTATTAGGTGGGATAAGTATTTCTGTTCTCATTTGTCTGTGTTCGTTAGTGTCATCACTTGTATTGTCATCTTTGATTATCTTATTTAATATATGAGATAATGTATTCTTAGTGTCTGTTGTGTATGTTCCTAGTTCATTCAAAGTGGTAGTGAGTAAGGTTTGAAGTTTTATTTTATTGGATACAAACTTATATGGCCATTGCCACGCCTTTGAAGCAGTAGCAAATGTCTTCCAGGACTTTAATTTGGAACTTTTAATTAGCTTTTGATATGCTTGCCTACTTTTGAGATAGATCACTCTCCTTGATTCCCTTAGTCCAATCGTCTTTTGTTCGCTGGTAATTTCTTCTTAGATGATTTGTCTCTTTACGCAAGCCAGTTAGTTCAGGGTTCCACCAAGGAACTGATCTTTTTCTAGTTCGACCTTTGAAATGGCCGGATCTTTTGAATGCTATATTGTAAGATTTTATCATTATAGATTTTATCATTTTATTTATGATAATATCAGTAGGCATAAGAGAAAACTCATTAAGAATCAGCTTTTCGGTCTCATAAACTGTCAATTCCTTCTTATCAGTACAATGTTGAGATAAAAACTGTTTTTCTAACTGATGTATTAAGTTAGTCAAGAATTTATTCCAGTTACCATTCTCTGTCAAATATATATAGTTTTTTGCTAGCACTCCAGTTCTATCATTTTCCTGTAAATGTAACTCATAAGTCAAAATGTTGTGGTCCGAAAAATTTGTTTCTCTAGAAATTGTCCAATTTTTTACAAGATTATGTCTAATCAGTTTTGTATTAGATAATGTTAAATCAATATTACTACTGCCTCGCGGCCCTTGGAAAGTCATTAGTTCGGAATTTATATTCATTAAGAACAAATCTTTCTCAACAATAAAAGTTTCCATATTTTTACCCCTTTCGTTAGTTTGTTTGTCGAACCAATATTTAGATCTTGCATTGGAGTCCAATCCAATAATGATATTAGAATCTTTGAAATAATCCAAAACGTGTTCTATTTTTTGTAAATCCTAATTTATGTTTCGGGTGATATCAAAATAAGCACATATTATTATACATTTTAATTCACTGTATGATATTTCTATGCAAACAAAATCACAATCAGAATGTTGCAATATCATGCAGGCATCAATGTTTTTATTGGTCACAATGACTCCAGCCCTGGGATTGCTTCCCATTGTTTGAAAAACCCTTGACTGATTATAACCTACAATTTTATTTAATCTTGTATAAGGTTCTTGGATTAATAAAACATCTATTTGTTTCATGTTTATGTACTGTTGTAGCATGTTCAATGTGCATTTTGAATGATGTGTGTTGAGTTGCAACATGTTTAATTGTCTATGTACCATCCTTAAAAATTAATTGTTTACAGTCCCCAATAATATTTTGAAATATGTATATATTGTGGTTATTAATTACTCACTGTAGAGGGATGTTGTAGTTGGTATTAGATGCCAATTTCTGTCAAGTACGACGGGCAGTTTCGGTCAAATACAGAATGTTCTGTGGGGCGCTTCTTTTGGCTTTTAGTGAACTTGTTGTAGTTTTGACAAATGATACATTTCATTTCTTGAGAAGTGCAGTCACTAGCCGCGTGTTGACCTCCGCAGTTCGAGCATGCTATCGTCCCTCTGCAATCCTTGCTTCTATGGTGAAATTTAAGGCACTTGGTGCACCTTATTTGGAAATAATCCTGAATTCTCATCTTTTGATGTCCGAGGCTGATCTTATTGTATAATAGCAATTCTCGAGTCACCGCGTCAACCTCCAAAACAGCATGCCAACTGCTATTCTTTCTTGTAGTGAGGATAATCACAGGTCTTATTTTATCCTTTTGTAAATGAATATCGTCATTTTGAGCAGTTATGTAGTCGGTTATATTTTGTAAATTTATTTTTTCCTCAATGTTTCTCACAACAACACGAGGTTTCATTTTATTTATTTTATGGTATGATATTTTTCTTGAGGCTTTTATAGTTTGAGCAATTTCGTTGAGATCTTTCTCCCTGTCGGTCTGTATTATTAATGATCCGTTTTTTGTTTCTACAACCTTTTGAAAACGTATGTGTAAATCTTTTGGATTTACTAAAGATTTAAATTCGTTACAAAGTTCATTCGGTTCTAATGATATTTTAGGTTTAATAATTGCCTTATAGGCTGTTCGATTTTGTGCTTTCATTACAACCCTTTGGGCAACTGCTGAGTAACTAATTCTGTTATTTAAAGAGAGTTTGTCTTTTTTAACAACCTTCCTGATCTCCAAACTAAATGACTGGTCACAAAGATTACCTACATATTTTTCCATCACTTCGATAGCTTTTCCTACCTTCGGTCGCAGGTCTTTTCTCAAGAGATTGTAATCCAAAACCTCTTTTAAAGTCTTGATAGCGTAATTTAAATCCAGTACTTCACCGGCCATTTTGCTGGAGACCTGCTTGTGATGAGACTAAGACAGAGGAGGGGGCTGACAGGAAATTTCTTGCAGATTTTAGCGATAACGGCTGCTAACTTCCAGCGAAATGCCTCTTCATGTATTCCTTCACAGCTGCTCTTACACTCTTCAGAACACCACCGAAATTTGTAAAAGCATTCCTAAATAGGAATTACAGGAGTATACCAAAGATCACTTTTATAGGGAGTGTATAACTTAATAGGATTAAAAATGAACACAGACCCGAACTGACGCTCAATACTGCCAAAGTCAGATTATATAAATCTTAGCATAAAAAAAGAAAAAAAAATATTGTAATATAAAAAGGTTAATACTGTTTATAATATAAAGATAGACTCTATTAGTTTGGGGTTCTTACCTGAAAACAAATAAAGATTACAAAAATAAAAATCTGAGAAATTTAACTTCAGCTCCAGTTACCAGTGTTTATTTAACAATTCTAGAAAAAAAAAATATAACTTTCTATGTGATTAGTTAAGTCAATCAGTTAGTTTATCTAAGTTGTTGAGAATGGTTAATTATTACTTAAGTTTTTCTTATATATTTCATATTTTTTTAAATTTATTTATTTTTTACAGGCAATATGGTCATTAAATGCCCAATTCTCTGGAAGATCCAGTTTGTTTCTTGATATTCCAGTTTATTACGCTCTTGCTGGAATGTATCTTTTACATTGTTATATCATTGTGTTTCTTCAATAAAAATGAAATGGTTATGTTTTAGCTGTATATAATAAATAATTGTTTTTCCAGATATAATGGGGCCATAATTAACTGGATATGGTTATTAATTAAACCTATAGCAATTTTGATTTATATGTCAATTAAGTGGCGATCCATTGCAAGGTTGTGCACAACTTATAGGACAGGTAAACACTCACTAATGTTTTTACTTTCACTATATCTTATTCAGGGTTTATGGAGCTTTATATGTTAAAAGGGGAACAAAGTAGATTTATATATTTTTATTAAGTTTTGTAATTTGTCAATTTTCGATTTAGATCTTTTAGTTCATAATATTTTTTATGTTTATTTTTTGTTTAATAGTAGTTATTATTTTAATAAATACAGGGTGCTAATGATTTATTAATGAATAATCTTTAAGTAATTTTTATCTTCAAAAAAGTTTAGTTTTATGCTGAATAGATTAATTGTAAATGTAATAATGTTGCTGGACCAGTTTTCTGTTAAATTAAATATTGTTGGAACAAATCCTTTTCTTTGTTTATTATTTTGTAATTTATGTACACATACATTTTAACAAATCAGTTTTATTGAAGACACATTCAGAAATAACTGCCTCTAAGGAAAGCTATAAGATCACAATTAAATTTAAAATATTATTTGTTGCATTGCTTGAATTCAAAGGGAACAATCTTGTAGGGAATTAGTTAAACCCTAATTAAAATTTATGTAATTCCATTGTGTTTATTTCTTTGTTTTCAATGAATCATATCTGGACAAATAATTGTTTTTCTATGCAGTTTTGTGTTCAATAAAATGTTAATTATTAAGTCATTTTTCTGTTGTACATTATGTATATTAAGTTTGTGATTGAAGTTTAAAACTAATATTAAAATAAATTGATCATTCCATTTTAAAGTTTTTAGATGCCTAATTTTACCATGTACAGTTTTTCAGATTTTTTTTTTTAAATTTTGTACATTATAGTAATAATAATATATACATTTATTTAATGTATAAAATTAAACAGTGCAAAGTTAGTAGTAATCTAAAATGATCTTATTTGAAATTGATGAATGAATTGGTCTTAGTTTCATTTCTGGAATGTAGAAATGAGTTATTAATTAAATTTGTTTGTGTTATATTATACATACTGTGTGTTTGTGTGTGTGTGTTTGTATAGGTTTAAATATTTGTATTATATACCAAAATAAAATAACTGCCTTTTTAAAGGATTACTGTTGGTGTTGTTTATTTGCTTTTGTTCTCATATCAATTACCTTTATTAATTAGTTTATTTGCTTATATTAATTAATTAGTCAATTAATTTTCTTTCAATAATTCATAGTGTGAAAATTTGTAATTTTCTTAATTCATATAATTTAAAATATATCATATCTAATAATGATTTAAAAATTATCAACTCATGCAAATTTTTCTCGACTAAACATGAATCATTAAAAAAAATGTCAATTTTTTTATTTTATTTGGATTTCAAAATGATTGTTGATAGTAGTTGGTTATTAGATATTACAATCTTTATGTTTACATTATTAATAAATATGTTTGGAAGGATCAACTTAAAATTAAAATAACTTTTTATTTGTATCACTTTTTTATGAAGAAATTGCAAGATTTTTAATAATCGTATTTCCCTGTGCAAGTGTATTACCTTAGAATTATTGGTTGTACCACTTAAATGATAATAGATGTGTTTTTCATATTTTGATATGAATTGTGTTAATAAGTGAGATGAATAAAAGAAAAAATACGGCGGACAAATAATAAATCAGTTTTATGTTGCTATTAACGTAAAGGATAAAAAATTGTAGTTTTGTTTAAAAATTAGCCTTGACTCCCTACATCCAAGAGTTTTTAAAATTTTACTTTACTTCACAGTACATTAAGGTAAAATTATTATTCTATTTATCACCTCTTACTGGGTTATTAGGTAACTGTTTATTGATATGGTCACCGCTATGTTATTATTTAAAATTGTTTTACTTTTTGCACTTTTATTTTTTAAGTTGAAAATATGAAGTTTTATATATATATTTATTTACAAATAAATGTTTATAACTATTTTTGTAGCAATCTATGTAATTTTTATGGATTAAAATATTTATTTACATTGATTCTAAAGTTATAAGGTAGTATTTCATGTGAGTTCCGAATTAATCTTTATTCCTGACATTGGTTCCATTATTTTTATTTCTATAGTAGGTTACTTTGACTGTTGCCTGAATTACTAAAAAAAGTGATTTATGGTTTTGTTGAATCAATGCTCAACAAAAGAGGCTCCTGAACTGCTATATCTGCTTTAACTTTGATAACTATAAAGAGCATACCCTTCACACTCCTAGTATGTTATAGCCTCCCCTCATAATTAACTCCATAACTCTTATTAAGTTTAAATGAGAAATGTAAGCCATTACTTTCTTTATTGCTACTCATAAGCTAATTTTTCAAGGTTAAAAACATGAAGAGATGAGCTGAAAAAAAGATTTTTGGAATAAGTGAAAACAAATTATAATGTATTTAGGTAAAATTTAGCACCAAGGATATTGCTAAGGAAACAACTTAAGGTCACTAAGATATAATTTTCTATAATAACAGACGACATGGAGCACAGAAAATGGGATTTGGAAATATTTATACATTAAATGATTGTGATAGCAATAAATTAGAGGAGAAATGTTGAAACTGACAGTAGTAGAAGTATGCCAAATTGAGTAGAAGAAAAATGAGGTGAAATATGGTTAAAAAATATAAAAAGTTAATTCACATTATTTCCTTTCTAAACTGAGAGATGAACAAAGAGGCTATTTTATTTAATACTTTTTGATAGTCACTATAGGTGTATTTTTATTACATAAGTAATATAAACAATTTAATTATATTAATTTGGAGTTTACAGTCAACATTTTAATTAACCTAGTAAGTATGTTTTCTATTTAAGAAAACTTTATTTCTGAACAATTAATTCATGAGTGAATTTTGTAGAAATAAAATGGCATTTTCCAATAAAATGGATCTTAAGAAAATAAAAGTTTTGATATATAAAATATTGTTAAAAAATAATTGATATTGGTAACCATATGCAGAACATTACTATCTATTTTTTAACTATTTCAATGTTCAAAAATAAAGATATATTGAGAATGAAAAAGAAACAAGATCGATCAAGTAGACAAAACAATATTTTTAAATCTATTGTTTTATGAGTATTCATAAATAATAAAGATTACTTAATTAGAAGTAGCTATACAATAAAAATAACATAATAGTTTACAAAGCAAGAAAAATAGATGATGATTAAATAAGCTTTAATTACCACTATGAAATAGAGGCAAAAAGCAAATATACAATATATTTTTAATCTATTATAATTTATTAATATATAAACATTTTTAACCATCATTTTCTAATATTTACACTTAAACCTTAAAACTAATGAAAATATTCTTTGGTAATACCAAATAATCTTTGGAAAAAAATATATTATTATAGACATTATTTTACAAAAAAAGTGGATATATTTATTTACATAATATCATTAAGTCAGAATTAAGTATCACATGAATTCATTAGCAAATATGAGATTCTTAGCAAATTTGGCAGTAAAATATCATCACCAAATCCACTAAATCTGAAAATAAAAATAATGTTATTACTACATACATGTAATTAAAATGTTGTTTATATTTTTTTGTTTTTTGCATTTTGTTTTATTTGTACTACAAAAATTAGAAGAAATAGCTGACTTTCGATAACATGGCTGGGTGTTGCAGTCAGTGAGAAACAAAAATATTTTTTTTTATTATTTCGATTTGTAATTCTCACTGATAACCCACAACTAACTTCCCAACCAAAAATCTTTTCAGATATTCACTTTATACTGAAAACATGAAAATTCAAGCTCCATTTATGAGACAATAAGCCAATATAGCTATTATTCTATAATATATCCATTAATAACATAGTAATAAGAAAATTTAAAAAAAAAAATAACCAAACAAAAAGTAATGGAATTTTAATTTTATATTCCAAATTGGAAATATGGTAAGTTATTGTTTTATTTTGATCGTATTATTACAGTAATAATAAAAAATTCTATTACATAAAAGGAAAAATATAATTAAAATAAACTCTTAAAAGAAGTTTCTTACATATTACTATTGCTTGGAGTTAGTTGGTAGATCTATAGTTTGACTATCTAAACTATATCCAGCAATACTGTCAGGACTCTGCAAAGAAACTGAATTTTCTCCAGCACAAGTGTTATCCAATTGTGTACTATCATAAGTATTATTTCCCTTGAAAAAATAAAGTTCAATTAATGCCAAAACAGAGAGAGTACCAACTTCACAGAATAAGTATGGAATACAAAGTAAATTTTAAAAGGAAGATTACTTATTTATTCTGATAAGATCAATGTGCAATTTGATAATAAGAGACTGATTTTATATATATATATATATATATATATATATATATATATATATATATATATATATATATATATATATAATCAGCCACTTATCAAATTTATCAATTATTATCACACTCCTTTTTTTTATACAGTCTATTTAATATATATATACTAAATATATATGTATATATATATATATATATATATATATATATATATATATATATATATATATATATGTATATATATTAAATAGGATGTATAAAAAAAAAAAGGGAGTGTGAAGTGTAAAAAAAAACTATGACGCCATCTTTAAACCATGGGTAAGGTAAAAAGGAGCAGTTAGACTGGTACCACCCAAGCTTACGCCCTAACAAGCTGTTAAGAAGATGGAGATTTGCAAAAATCTTTTGAAAAAAAAGTGAGTTTTGTGGAAAAATTTTGATACCACTGCCCAATCGTTAGATTGAGGTAAAACAGTTTTTCTGGTTACTACAAGGGGACAGTTAGAAAAAAAATTAATGCTTCACATTTTTTTGGAAATACGAAGAAGTAATCCATCATGAATGTGTTCCTGATGTATGCACAATAAACTATAACCTCCTAACCGTTGCAGAATTATTCAGCTTTGGTCAACTGTAAAGGATATTCTGTTCCAGTAAGGCAATGCCAGATCGCATACTTCCTTACAAATCAAAGAAAATTTAGAAATCTTAATGGTATCAAAATTCTTCTACATCCACCATATAGTCTGAACCTAGCTCCATCAGATTTTTATTTGTTTTCATCCATTGTTGACTTCTTGAAACAAAAAAAATTAAATACATTTCACTAAGTTCAAACCGGAGCTAAAGGTGATGGGATGGTCATTTAGGTACAGAATAGGAATATTTGTATTCAATTTGAAGAGGGATTTGGAACTATTGACAATGGTCTGAGTTTTATCAGCATTTGATCTTAATCCATTTATGTATGCCCAGGTACTGATTCCATTTAGATCTTGGATTTTGGCAAATGCTTCATACAACTCAGAGGTTGGGAAGGAAAGGTAAATTTGGGAATCATCGGCATAGAGGTGATGGGAACAGTGAAGGATTGATTTATGGAGGTCATTGATGTAGGAACTAAAAAGAAGAGGAGATATTCTAGAGCCCTGGACCTCTCCTGAGGACAGATTAAGATAGGAACACAAAGATTGATTAGAGATAGCGACAGTTTGTGAATGTTGAGAGAGGAAAGATTGAAACCAAAGGATAGAGCTGTTGGAAAATGATAATGATATTAATTTGGAAAAGAAGATAAGATGGTTAATGTATCGAAGGCTTGGAAAAGTCAAGGAGTACAAGGATGGTTAGTTTTTTAACATCTATAGCATACTGAACATCACTAATGATTTTAGTTAGAATGGATTGTGGGGAAAAACCTGGTCGAAAACCAGTTTGGTAAGGGTCATGTTGAACGAATTGGAAACATGGGATTGCACTGTTCTTTCCAGGGTTTTTGAAAGGATTGAGATTGGGGCTAAATCTTTTGGGAAAGAAGGATAAGAGATTTTATTTAATGGACAGACAGTGGCTTTTTTCCATGAGGTAGGGAATACTGAGTTTTAAAGGGAGAAATTATAGGTGAAAAGGAGAACTGGAAGGATTTCAGGCAGGCATAATTTGATTAATTTGGCAGGAATTCCGTCTTTCATCAAGACAGATATGAAGTCTGTGGGTGAAATAACTGAAAAGTAAAAGTCGCTGTCGTTAAAAGATGTTCCAAGAGAAAAGAAGGAAGAGGTAAATGGAGGAGTGGAAGAGGAAGCAGATATAAAATATGAATTTAAATCATCTGGTGAAACTGGAAAGACTGTTTAGGGAAGGGATCTAGAAGAATCACTAAGGAGAGTTTATGAAGAAATAACCATTTGGATTTGGAATCAGGTGCTGATGAAAGGGCTTCATGGAAATATGTCAATTTGGCTCGTCGGATTGTGGTTTGTGTCATGTTGTGGAGCACCCTAAACGATTGACAGTCGTCAGCCTGCCTAGTACGTCTAAAGCGTCTATGGGCAGCATAACGCTTCTTCTGAAGATCCTTTATTTGCTGACACATCCATGAGCGGTTGATGACGAAAGCCAGAGGTTTTGAGGGGGGAGCATGGGCATCAAGGATATTAAGGGATCTTAATTGCTTTCGCTGGAGTCGGAAAGGAAATTAGTGTTGCATGGATCAAGTCATCAGATATGATAATTTCGGAATAAGGGGGAACAAAGGGAACTAGAGAAAGATGATATACTACGTTATAAAGGAAAGGAGAGGTATAACAGGAAATTTCAACAATAAGGAACTCAATTTGTGGGCCACATCTCCGCCAGTCCGGCTGATCCTGTCATTGCAGATTAGTGTGTAGTTAGGAAGAGTAACAGATGAGGAAGGTTTGAGCCACGTTTCGGAAATTGCAATGATATGATAAAAATTGTGGGTAAAATGAAGGAATTCATCATAATGGGCTGGAAGGGATTGGGAGTTGACGTGACAGGTAGTCAGGACATTAGACATGATTCGGATTTAGAACAGTTCTAGTTCTTTACCGGCATTCATTAACGTTGTTGTATTTAGTTTTATAGTTCCCACGTCTTCCCTTAACAGTTCCAGATCATCCGCATAGCCCAGCACGGGTGTTGTCCCACCCAGATCCAACCATTTTTCGGTACGCATTATCTCCCTAATGCTATGTTCTAATGCCAAATTGAACAGGATAGGAGAAAGGGAATCCCCTGTTTCAAACTCGAACGAACCTCAAACTTTTCGGACAGATTATTACCGATTCTAACTTTATTGAGTGTTTCCGTCAAGCACATCCTGACTAGATTTACTAGTTTTTTAGGAATCCCCTGCTCGATTAGAATATTATACAGTTTCTGGCGATCAATAGAATCGTAAGCCTTTTTGAAATCGATATACAGCTGGTGAACAATACCGTTGTACTCTAATTTTTTCTCTAATATTTGCCGTAAAGAAAATATTTGATCAATAGTCGAACGATTCCGTCGAAATCCGCATTGGTAGTCTCCGATAATTTCCTCGGCGAAATCCCTGATTCCACTAGGTCATATTAAAGTGAATATTTTATAATATACCAGAAGGAGTGAAATTCCTCGATAGTTATTACAATCTGTCCTCGGGCCCTGTTCAGGTAATTTCTCATTCTCCCAGATCTTTTTAACCAACCAATGTATTTTAGAAACTCCAGCTTCCCCGCACTCCTTAATTAGTTCACAAGGAATATTATCGGTTCCCACTGCTTTAAGATTTTAATTTTCCGATAGCTACTTCAATTTTTTCTTTACTCGGTTCTTCTATTAACGGTTTAGAACTAAACCGTTAATAGAAGAACGGGGAATGAAGTACCAGAGAACTCTGGTACTCAGAAGGACACAGATCATAATTTCTCGTATTTAAATTATTGTCAAAGTAATTCTTAAACTTATTCAATATGTCAACCGGATCGGACAGAATATTGTTACTTTCATCCCTAATTCCAGACGTGACGGGTCCTAAACATTTATGTGATCTGTTCATACCTTTGTACATGTCTCTTACGTTATTTTCGATTCTATTAGTTTCTATTTCAATTATTTTATTTTTAAGATACTCCTTTTTTTTATTTTTGAGCAATTTTGTCATTTCAATCTTTGAGGTTCGGAAGTATTCCAGATTGCCTTCGTTAGGATTATTTAGAGCTTTTAATTTAGTGGCTTTTCTTTTTTCGCACATGTTTAAGCAATGTTCATCAAACCACGGTTCGTTATTCTTATTTTCCCTTTTTCCTAGACACGAGTTACTGACCTATCATTACTATATTTGTGCAAACTTTCTTTACCAATCATCGGAACACCAACTTCTTCCCTCTCCACCTTTGCGTTCGTGTCACCTACAACTATTTTCATGGAGTTTCGCAGTAGTTTATCATTAATCCATTCGAGTTTATCGTAAAATTCGCATTTGACTTCATCGTCACTGTCTTGGGTCGGACAATATATGTTTATTACTGCAATTTTAAACCAACATCCCTGAAAAAGATCTACTGAAATTCTATCACCAAGAATTGTACGTCCCTCAAAGCGGATAGCAATCTATTCCTAATTAGAAACCCGGTACCTAAACAATGATTCCCACTTCCTCCGTACCAAATAGTGTACTTTCCTTCCCCCATCGAGCCCTCCCCTGGCCAGCGAACCTCTTGCAGAGCCACGACATCCAAATTGTACCCATTAACCTCATTCGCGACCGATTTTAATCCCCCTGCTGTGTTTAAACGCCTTACGTTCCACATACCAATATTTAAATCCCTATTTTTCAACTTGCGCCATGAATCCCCTAAAGCAGTCCCCACCTGACCGCTTTAATATTATCCCTGATCTCTACCCATAACTTGTCAACATCATCGCCGTCCTCATCAGAAAGCTCTAAAGCTTCAAACCTATTCTTGACATCTAGCTCGAATTGGGTTCTTATTGATGGATTTTTTAATTTTTCTAAATTAAAATTCTCAAAATAGAAATGGTTTTCTTTTCTCTTTTTTATATTAAGTTTTTGTCGAAGTTTCAAGATTACTAATTCATGATCCGACCCACATTCTGCTCCTCGAAAGACCGTACATTAATTATACTGCTTTGCCAGCTATGTTGTATCAAGTCATGATCGATTTGATTTGGTGTTTGCGAATCCGGTAATTTCCAAGTATATTTATGAATATCCTTTTGTTTAAACGTAGTACTTTTAATTATCAGGTTTTTCGAGATGGCAAGGTTTATCAGACGGATCCCATTATCATTACTATATTCGTGCAAACTTTCTTTATTAATCGTCGGAACATAAACTTCTTCCCTTCCC